GGGCTTCAGAAAGGCTTGGGCCTTATGCAGATAAAGACTTGTATTGGGCCTGTTCTCTAATCTTCTCTAGGTTTTGATTGGGTTTATCATGGGTGTAATCTGTGGTTTTGCTAGGCCTTTGTGGGTTTATTGGGATTGCTTTCATGCTTGTGGTGATATCTTATCACCTTATGCTGTACTTATTCCTTTTTATTTTAATGAAAATTTCTCTTTTTTCTTCAAAAAAAACAAAAAAAATCCACCACAGTTGAAGCACTTGACTCAAACACATCTTACTTCCAGAGGTGAAAGGACAACCCAATTATCCTCACGGTTACACCATCTTTTGAGTAATCTTTTTTTTTTCTCCAAATTGGAGAAAGGGCACCATCTGAAAATCGTAACAACGCCATATTCAGTCTGAATGACCTCCAATTCACCTCTACCTTATTCTCTTGCAAATCAAGCGGTGTTTACACTTTTCATATGGAGTGATTGTCAACATGCCCTTCAGCTTCAAACTTTTAATAATAGCGTCCGCAACTTTCTTCAAAATTTCCAATATCTTATAATTTCCTTAGCCTCAACCATCAATTTATCCTCCCGATCTTCTTTCCCATCACTTGCAACTAACTTTCCTTTACCATTCAGATTTGCTGTTGGCACAGCTTCAAGTGAAGGAACTCCCCAATTAGACAACATTCTTCTTCCTTCTCAGATCTTTGGGGCTTCATTTTTAAACCAATATTGTTGAGCTTCCTCTGAACTTCTTTCTCACGATCGAAAGACTGATGCCGAACCATGAATAATATTTCCTTTCAACCTTACTCCTTCCTTCAGGGAAATAGATTAGTTGTTTCCTTACATTGCCAAAAGATTCATAGAGCACTATGAAGGCCCCTTTTGCATTCTTTTTCTCTCTGCATTGTGTCCCAAATCTCCTTTGAAGGAAAATACAGATCTGGTTCACCAATCCAACCTAGTTAGAAAGACTTAACTGAAAACTGCCCTGATCAATCTACCTCCACCTCCTTGAGTCCTGCTCTTCCCTGTTAGTTTGCTGAGTTTGGAGCAGAGCAATCAGATCTGCTACTTGTTGCATTTCCGTTCATTGAAGTTCCTTCTAAAGGAGGGAGCCCAGCTGGAAATGTCCCTGCCGTTGTGTATGAATATGCTACTAAAGCTTGTTGGTGGCTTTTCTATACAGCTGAATCCTTCAGCGTAACCCTATCTTCACACCATGGATCTTTCCAAAACCTTATTCTTCTGCCATCTCCCAGTTAGTACTTAATTTGTTTAGTGAAATGTGGAAAAGCCTTGTTGATACCCCTCCACACAACACAGCTTTAGAGTAGCTGAGAGTCTTCTGCTTCCTACCTTAACACGAATCCTATATTTTTCTGCTATCACCCTCCTCCACAGATCATTTGGTTCTGTGATAAACTGCCTAAACCAGCTGCCTGAAAGAGCTGTACTAGAATTTTTCACTCTTCTTAGATTCAAACTACCTTGAACATGTGTTTACAAATCTGATCCCAACCGACAAGATGATATTTCTTCAGTCCTTCCTCCCCAACTGAAAAAAAAAACATCATAGATTTTTCAATCTTCTCTGCCACCCCCACAGGGATTGTGAAGATACATATAGTAAGTTGGAAGAATGAAGTTTTTATTATCTCTGTTGAAATTTTAGGGGATGACATTTTCCTGCAACAGGTATTATGTAGATTTATTTTAATTTTTAACTTTTACAAATCTTTTTAACACAAGATGAATGTGACTTTTAAAGGCCATTGGGCAAGGTAATGTCTTCTTCTGGTTCTATTCCAAATCAAACTTTAATTCCTAATGCTATTTTCCCTCCATTCTTGAATGTTTGGACAAACTATCAGATTCGTGACATATACATATTGGTCAATCAAATTAAAGTTTAAATATGTATATCTAAGATTGCAGCAGGATGGTTTGTCCCCCAAGGATGCTAGTCTCTTAGGGCTTCGGATTGTATAGGCTGTTGAGGAATCATGGTGTTTAATCTATGTTTACAGGTTGTATGAGGTTTTAAGGGTGAATAGGTGGCAGGGCAGTTATGTCCTTTCCCTTCTTTTGTTAAGGACATTCCAGTCCTTATTTTTTTACTACACAGGGATATAATTGTACATGAAGTTACTTGGTGAATAATATAAATACCCTGCTGCCTGTTAGGAAAGATATTCCATTCTAATCTGAACTGAACAGAGCAGTGGGGATTTCTCTTTTTCTTGGCCTACAATTAACCTACAGTTAATACTCTTGCTCTTTTTCATTGCTGAAATCTTGATCTGACAGGTTACATGGACATTGCCATTCCTTTACACTATCTAGCTTGTATAGCTTGATGCCCTCCTAGAGTCCTGGTTAAGAGGAAAATGGACTAAATATTGATGGCAACTCACTATTAACTATTTGTTTGCTAATTGCTATTGACTTGGGGTACTTTTCATATCGAAATGGTTGAGTGTTTTTTTTTTGTGGAATAAGTTTTGATTTTCCCAAGTCAATATCCCTTTGTTTGATATTTTCATGGAGCTTGACTATTACTTAATGTTGTTGATTCAAGTTGTATGTATTTAGTGTATAATTGTGGCCATTGTCATATATGAAAAATGTTTCTCTATTCTCCATCGGTAAACAGCTATCTTGTTGCAAACTCGTCAAATAACAAAAGCTACAGTATATCAAAAAATGGGACCACTACTAAGTGAAGTTGTGCTGCATCACATGCCCGGTATTAGGCATATGCATGATATTCTTTGTCTATATATTTTCTTATTATATGATCCCTTGATTTTTAAATAATTTATCATTAATAACACTGCCATATAAAATATGTTTCAAAGTATCTATACTCTCAATACACAATTTGTTAATAGAAAGCTTCATTTCATCAAAATTACTAATTTTTTTATTTGTTGGTCCGACAAATTGACCGCCGGGGGGGTGGTCTCACATCAAACATGAAAATCTTCACTCCTTATATAAAGTGTTTTGGTGACTAAAAGATACGAAATGGTACATCAAATACGGGGCATATATTGAGCTTGGAAGCTTGCATAGACATAATGATTGTTGTTGTTATTAACTAATAGCTTCTGGAATGGCCATGTGCGTTTTTTTTTATCCACTGATCTAATAATGTGATGCACTGACTTACATAGATACTTTTTAAATAATTTTCTTGTCCATGTGGCATTTGACAAGGCAAGAATACTAAACATTTAAAGTAGGGGTTTACTTCACTGATTTGGGTGATCCTGGCCTTGCATGTTAACATGTGTTGCATACTTAGTGGATCAGGAGCCAACCATGAACTGATGCCATAAAAAAAGACCAACAGGAAAAAAAGAGCTAAGGTCATCTGATCATTTTACTAAGAAAAGGCTTAATGTCATCTGATCATTTTAGTAAAGAAAATCTTAGTGTCATCTGATCATTGCAGTATATTGAGTCTTGATTGAATATCTTAGAAGACTCCTTTTCACTGTCAAAATGTATGTATCAAACTGTACAGGTATTAAGTAATCTTAATCTGATCATTTAGGCTACATTTTAAAAACCGACCCGGAGGCTGAAGCATTTTCCCTCTGGGTTGCAGGTTACCAGTTAAACCGGTTGGGACTGATTGGCAATTTTTTTTTATACTAAAAATTGATATTTGAGGCCAAAAACAATTTTTTTTTTATACTAAAAATTGATATTTGAGGCCAAAAATGGCGTTTTTTGGCAAAAAACACTGGGCCAATGCCTTTGGCTCCTCGCATAGCATTAGATTGCGAAAAGCTACCCAAAATAAAAAATACCCCAACCCAACCACCAAGCTCAAAGTTATATCCTCCAGAAGTTTTCACACATCTTCCCTAATTATACATGCATGCAATTATTTGTACAGAAAATATAATTATTATTGCAAAAAATAATACCTTCATAAATACATTTTTTCATGGATGCCTCACAGACATAGATACATGTGCATACATATAGGTATTATTAAAACATTTAAACCTAGAAGTAAAAATATAATGTAATTTGTAACCCAAGACCCATTATTTGGGTCAATCAGGTTGGCTGTTCAATTGTACGGGTTGACAAGTCTCTGACCAAGTCAATGATTTTTGACTGACTACCGGTTTTGAGGTTAATCTGAACTGGAGTGGTTGCATGGTGATGGTATGAACAGTTTGACCGCTCATATGTCAACAAGCGGAAAACGCTGCTTTTGGATAGGGTCATTCAATTGATGGGATCTTTATCCTCATAGCATGCAACGTGTGGCAACTATTGGACAGATGCCAAATTGAAAAGGGGGGGGGGGAACCAAACAGATCAACATACTAGTGGAGAGGTTTTTAGCATTTAAAAACACGGAACATATAAGCATGCAAAAATAAAGAGTCATTAATTAACACAAGTAATGAGGTGGATTAATGGTATTTAAGCAATATATGAAAATAAGAGGTCATGGGCTCAAATCTTGTTATTTAAAAATTTGAATTACTTAAGAACCCGAGTGGTTTCATGAAGCCAGGATCAGTTCACCAGTTTTGTGGTTAAACCAGCTGGTCAGCTGGTTTTTAGCAAATACAGTTATTGGGGTGTGACCGGACTGGCCAAGGTCCTGGGCCACGGTTCAACAGGTCCGGTCTGGTTTCCTAAACACTGCAAATAGGGATATGTTGTACTGGGCTCATCTGTAATCTGTTTTCAAGTTTTTCTATTTATTTTCTCAAAAAAATTATTCTATTTATTTTTGATCTGGGGGAGGTCTCAACTCGCGCCTCTTCAAGGGATGCTTGTACTGGTTTTTAGCTTTTGATATTAATAAATTAATTATTTACCAAAAAAGGCATGCATAAAACATGACTTTTGCACTATGGTTTCGTATCTCTTAGCACTCTTTAGATTATTCATTGGGTATAATAAAATAATATGGTTTCAGTCCATTCTGCAGAGTTATTTTCTTACATGGATTCTGTATTTAACAGCTTGGGTTAACCGGTTTGCCAATGCTGGTGATGCTGCGATGGAAGTAGCTGGAAACACTGCATTACGAGTGAGATACCTTTCTCCTGTATTGATGCTTTTCCTACAACATATTTAACCAATAAAGAATATCTTCATGTTTTTTTATCAATAAAATATCTTCATGCTTCTTCACTCAAGAAAATGATTGTACGTAAAGTTGAGATGTTATACTTCAGTTGTGGACTTCAGTACATGGGCCTTGAATGTTGTACCATGTGCAGCTTCTAGTTTACGTAGTTTTTTAGTTGTGGTTTTTATGTATGCTTCTATAGAAGTAGGCATTACTTTAAACTTCTATATTTCCTTCTGTCTTGTCAATTCTACAAAAAGAAAGAATTTTGATATAATTTGAAGATATGGATTCAACAACAATTGCTATAATTTTCACTTGTATGAACCACCTCATTAGACCTTGGAAGTCTTTCACTAATTCTCTTTTAATGACCTTTGGAGAAATTGGTCAACAGTAGCGAGGTGTTCATCCCTAAAGGACAAATCAATTACAAGCTGGTCTTCTCCATCTGAAGGCTCACTGAAGTTGAACTTCGACGGAAGTTGCATGGGTAATCCGGGATTATCCAGAATGGGGGGTGCTTTGAGAAATGAGAAGGGAGAGATTTTGTTGCTCTACTCAGGTCCCTTAGGAATTGGGGACTGTTCATAAGAAGACCCAACCCGACCAAACCGACCAACCCGGACCGACCCAACCCAAGTCGGCCGGGTTTTCTTCAGCACCGGTCGGTTTCGGGTTATAAAAAATCATAAACCGATGATTTGGTTCGGTTTTGGTTTTCATGTGTGAAAACACCGAAACTGGCCCAAACTGAACCGACTTAGTAGTTAGTTCCTAGTTAGTAGTTACAACCTATTTAGTTCCTACTTAACTAAGTTGTCTCTATCCTAGTTACAACCTACTTAACTAAGTTGTCTCTCAAACTCTGCTCCCTCCACAGCTGAATCCATGGATGGGCCACAAAACATTAAGGAAATGCTGGTTTCCTTTGGGAATGTAGAGCCAGAAATGAACACTTGAACAGCAACTAAGTCACTACTAAGTAGAGCCGAAACCGACCCAAACCGACTCAAACCGATCAGGTCGGTTTTGCTTAACACAGGGTCGGTTTCGGTTTCAATTTCAGGTAACCCGACCAGGT